TTTGGTTTACCAACAGCAAAAGCTTGCTGTGGAGCCTGGATTTATCACAGCAGTGGAAGGCCCTTTCTGGGTTTGGTTTACCAACAGCAAAAGCTTGCTGTGGAGCCTAGATTTACCACAGTAGTTTAAGGCCCTTTCTACAGCAATTGCTGTCTGAAAATTCAAAACCCTGTTGATCTAGACTATTCCATTATCTTGAATTTGCCAACAAAAGAAAGATTATTTCGGATTAGCTAAAAGTCATATTGTAGATGTAGTGATCTACAAAGATCACTACATCTTGTCTCCTTCAACCAAATTGTCTAGACTCATGTTTCATCCAAAATCTTTGATGTTCTTGCTGTCCAACAGTAAGCATTCTGAATCTTGTTTTTCTAGTTTGATGAGTTGAAGAATGTATATGATGGCGAATACAAGGCTGATGCTATCACCACATTTGTCACAGAGAACAGCCTTCCACTTGTCATCGAATTCACAGAAAAGGTTAGTGTCTTTTGTGTCTATTGGTGACCAACCTACATTATTTGATTTTTAATAAAAGTGGAACTTTTTTTTCAGGATTTTGTGAACATCACTTTTTCAACACACATATACTAATTTGCTATTTATTTATTATTATTATTATTATTATTTTTTTATCCTATTTTAGAAAAGCATTGCTCGTATGATATAGAACCTCTTGCTGGGTAATATTCTCAGTCATTGAGCTCTACCAATTTCATTCCAAACCTGTACCTCCTATCCACCTTTATTAAACCCCTTGCCCATCCTTAAAATCCAAGAGATTTTTTAGGATCTTAAACATTGTTCATTTCTATTGCTCATTTAAGTCAGACAGGTGATTAATGTACTTAGGACATACAAATTTCCTACATTAAAATGCAAAGTAATTTTATGTCTGCAGAATAAATAACATTTAATTCACCCTCTTTTACAGTCTGCTCAAAAGATCTTTGGTGGGGCAGTTAAGGTTCATCTACTTCTATTTGTCAAAAAAGATGCTGATAACTTCCAGACTACATACGACAACTTCCATGGCGCTGCCTCGGACTTCAAAGGAAAAGTAAGAAGACTTTTGCATTTTCCTTCCTAAGTTAAAAGTAGTCAGTTGAATCATTCCCAGTCAATATTGTTGAGCATTTAGCTTCAAAG